TATTTAATATTAAATAAATAATTAATTTTAATATTTATTAATTACTATATTAACTTTGATTTTTTTATTGAGTTAGTGCTTTATTTACTTAATATTTTCAATTCTAAAATTGCTAATATCTCAAAATTTTGGCTTTATTGAAAATTCCTCACAAGCCCTTATAAGAAAAAGAAACGAAACTATCAATACTAAATCGACGTATAAAAAAAAAAAAACAAACACTTATTTGTAAATCTATTAATCTAGTTTAGGTTACAGTATCCTGGCATCTAATCATCTAAAAAAAATTTTTCAAAATAGATCTACAACAATACTATCAAATTAGAACATATCTCGAAAGCACAAAAATTCTAAAAGACTTAAACCCAATCCAATGAAAAAGATTCATAAAACAAACTGTTTACTATTTTACCACAATGACCTATTGTATCAGAAAAATAAGAATAAAAATAGATCAGCACTATGGGTTATCAAAGAAAATGAATTAGAACGGGTACTATATAGAATTCATTCAGATGTGTTAGCCAGACATTTTGGAATAGAATCAATATACAATAGGGCCAAAAGTAAATATTTTTGGCTACAGATATATAAAGCCATCGCTAAATTTGTACAAACTTGTGATGTATATCAATAACAGGATGCTCCACGACCACATGAAGAATTATACCCTATTCTAGTAGGCATTCCATTTGATCAGATCAGGATAGATATCATTGGATCTTTTAAAGATATCACTAAAAGTGGGAATAGTTATATCATCGTAGCCACAGAATATCTGACCAAGTAGCCCGAAGCTCGAGCAATTCCCAATATGATAGCTTCTACCATCACTCGATTTATTTATAAAGACTTTATTTGTCAACATAGTTGTCTAAAGATACTTCTTTCTGATCAAAACGGTCCTTTTGTAATGAAATTGTTGACTCTTTATGTAAAATTATGTCTACTCATCACCATTTAGCCGTTATATACTATCTACAAACAAATGGCTTAACTGAAAGATTCAACAAGACTCTTTGCTCTACACTAGCAAAGGTAGCAGGTAAATACAGAACCACTTGGGATACCCTACTACCAGCTACCCTGTTCGCTTATCGTACTCTTAAAAACTATACTGCCAAGTATGATCTCTTTCATCTTATGTATAGATATCAAGCGACAGTGCCTCTTGATCTACAATTACAAGAAAAGAAAAAAACTCCAGATATAACGTTAGATTAGCTATTAAAACTACACATTGAAAAAATCACAAAACAATTACAACAGCAAAGTCTTTAGACCCAGCAAAATATTAAAGAAGCTCAAAAATAGCAAAAAAAACATTATGATCTCCATGTAAAACCTATAGAATTTAAGATAGAAGATCAAGTTTTAATATATGAATCAGCAAAAAAAAAAATATATAGTGACAAACTGAAAGAGAAATGGAAAGGCCTCTACTTCATTCATGACTACAGAGCTCCTAGAACATATAAGCTACGAATGGAAGAAGAAAAAACCTTGAAACATATAGTGAATACAAACTGACTAAAAAGATATTATAAACAGCCTACTTGGAAACTGACTATCTATATTTAAAATTTGATACAAAATAGATGGCAAAATTAAAATTGTACTGAAAATAAAGATTATCGATAGTTTGTATCACTCAAGAGACCTTATGTTTCAAAAAAAAGAGTGGTGTAAAATAATATAGAATTCACCTTCATATAATATTATGCATCACAACAATTACTGACACCAGCATATTACAGTGATCACGTAATCATGATGATGATCATGATGCCTCGACGAACCTGTTATTCAACGGCTATCTAATTCTACTCTATTTTTTTATTGTTTATTTGTTATATTATTATTTATTTTACTATGTAAAACTATTTATTTATATATTTATTT